AAAGAATTAAAATAATTAATTTCAAAAAAAGAAAATAGGAATGGAAAACGCTCATAGTATATTAATATTATAAATATTAATATAATAAAAAGGGAGTTTATATAACAGTATGTATACAATTCACAGCATTATGTAAAGGGTACCTATGCATAAAAGAAACACTGGAAGCCAGAAAGTTAACACGTGTTTTTCCTAATGATGAGAGTACTCATGATTCTTACTTTCTTCTGTACAATCTTTTTCAATGAAAACTTATTATTTTATAATCCACAAAAATTGTAAATTATAATAGTGGAGTGAATATAGGAAGATAGAGGCATGCAAATACCTATAATGAATAAACTCCTGTAAATTACACTTGAGCATGGACGAGCTCTGAGAGTGCTGGCAGGTAAAGCCAAAAGGGAAATAAACTGCATACGTCACCTTTTAATAGAAAGATTACAAATTCATTTTTCAAAGACCTTTTCCCCAAGGATATTATTGACTATATTTATATAGGAGGGGTTTTTATATAGGAGACGTTGGGTAACACCGAACAATGCCTTCATTCTGCTTCTACGGAAGACACAGATTCTTTGTTCAAATGCACAGCCTTATAGTGACCATCTAAAAATGTAAACACTGAGGAAATAAGAGTAAACGACTCAGAAAAGACATTCTGTCAGGAAAGTAAAGTAAGATAGTGAATAAATGTTTCCCCTGGAATACCTAACTTCTTAATTCAGGGATAGATCGCAGACAACCCTGGGGAAGACTCTTGGGTCAAAAGAGTCTTCTCCCCAGAGTCATTTAGAGTAGCCAGTGTTAATAATGCAATAAAAAACACTGTTGGCATATAAACAACTCCAAGGTTAACAGAACAAAAATTATAAGATTTTGGTATGCATAGAATTCTCTAGTAAAATATATTCCTCCATGATATGAAATTAGCCTCAGATTAAAGTGAAGAAAGTGTGATTTAAAGGGATTTCTGCCAGTCCTCTCCCTGTAAAAATATTTACTCTATAAGTCTTACTACAAAGATAGAAAATCAAAGAAGGATAACATTTGCAAACTTAGAAAGCCTTTAGAATTTCTATCATCCAGAAGTGATTAACTTTGGGGGAGTCATGAACTTCTCTCGAAATCTAATGAAAGCTATAGAGTCTCTCTCCAGAAATATACACATGTACACCAAATTTTGCATAAAACTGAAAAGGTTCAGGACTGACCTCACGTTCATCCACAATTCCCTATGATAAGAACACCTGAGCTAGTTCAACCTTGTGTTTTTGAGAGGGTTTTAGAGAAAGATGCAGCATTCTGCCTAATTGAACAACATTTCTTATTTTCACAAAATTAATCCCTCCAAGTGAGTGAAGTAACTTGCCCAAGATCATAAGGCAAATTAAATGGCAGATGAAGGATATAAACCAGGTCTTCTAACTCCCAGCATAGTCTTCTTTCTCTCAGATCCTTTGTCCACTTAGATTTAAAAACCTCCCTTGGTTTCCCACAACCTGGGTTAAGAGAGAAATCTCTAAAACACACATCTAGGGAAACCTACGGAAGATTGAGGTATCCCCTGGGAATACAACACCGAGAAAATACTTGGAGTAAAGTTGGACTCAAAGGCTTTTCTGAAGTCACCAACACCATGGTTTTTCAATGGACCAGAGTTCATGACAGCATCCTATCCATTTTAGACAGTTCTTCTTTCATAAATCTTGGGCTATCTTCTGATTATTGTCAAGACATCTGAAAATCAAACATAACATCTTGCCCTGGTTTTAGAACCAGCAGTGAATCAAAGTTCTCCAGCAACCGAGGTAATAAGAGTGATGACATGCCTGAAAATAGGAGGGACGAGGCATAACCATCAGCGGTATCAAAGCTGTACAATTTATCTTCATGATAGGAAGTGACTATTATTTTCTTTACTCACCAGGAGAAATTTGTGACTCATGAGCAAAGGAGTATTGTAGGATGCTTTGCTGTCTGAAGACTACAGACAGAAAATGTAGACCTTTCCTTTTATTTAATCAAACAACTGGATTGAATATTCCTATCAATCAACTGCATGGGTATGACCGTGCACTGGGTTTGACTGGAAAGTCCCTCCTCAGTATCCTGTTTATTGGAGTCCTACTCAACCTCCTAGGTCCATTCACATCTCACCCAACCCAGAGAGACCTCCCTGATTACCCTAGCCCACACTCATCTCATCCTTCTTAGCGGTGGCTACAGCGCTTTTCTGTAGGACATAATTCAACACCACTTACATACTGCTTAATGGATCACACTAACTGCTTCATGAGTCTTGTTTCTCTAACCAGATAATAAGTTATTCAAAGGCAGGAATCATGTTTTCCCTGCTGCTTGATACTGGGCACAAGTATTCAAAACTTGTGTGTTGACTAACAGATTAAAATGAGAAAAACAGTCACCCACCCACCTGAATCCAGCCCAGCGGCATTCAGCTCAGAGCAGAGTTAAGCTTTCCTGCCTGATGAGCCTCTGATGATGCTTCAACATCTAGCTCTCAGCACCAACTCCTCTGCAACAATCCTAGTAACAGAAAAATGCTGAGAACTCCTGTTCAAACCAAATAGCATGGTACTTCTGTGGAGATGAGTAACGCTAGGAGAACTGGGAGGACAATTACCCCTTCCACTAGCAGGATGGTTTTAACTCAAAAGTATATTTTGAATGATTATCCATATTATCTTCTATCTTTACTTGAGATCTAAGAAAGTCAGTGGAAATTTCCAGAGTTGCAGCCCCCCCGCCCCAGATGATGGACTACCATACAGCCATTCAAAATAATAAGACAGAAATAAATGGACTGATGTGGAATGATGTCTAAAAATCTAATTTTACATGGACAATAAAGCAAACTGTACATAAATATTGATTCCATTTTTGGAAAAATGTGTTTTTGAATGCACACATACTGCACCCATATGGGTCATAGATGCATAGAAAATCTATGGATGCATTCATTAAAAATATTGTCAATCACGGTTCTCTCTGGGAGTGGGATCTGGAGCCTGGCAGGGGAGGAAAAACAGAACTTTACCATTTCACTTCAGGCAATTTTGCAGTATTTTTTTAGATTTTGCAGTAAACAAGACTTTGATTACTTACGTCACTTTAGAGTCCTATTTCTTAACTTTCCAAAAAGTCACCTGTTGAGGTTTTCAACAGTGTGACCTTGAGACAGACTGGGAACTGGGACCTGGGACCCTTTGCTGCACTGCTTGCACCAGGACAAATGTTTCCTCGAGTAACGCAATACATAGAAACTATGGGGGACTAAAAATAACTGCGTGCATGGGCATTTGCGGCAAATTATGGACAAGACAGAAAATTACCAGAAACTCAACTGCCACTTCTGAAGAGCCAGGAGCAAAAACAGGGTGTCGGGGGCAAAAGCAGGGTACTGCACATGCCCCCTGCACTCAACACCACCAAAGGGGTGGGCAAACCATCTAAGCCCCCCCCTCGGCCCAACCGCTGGACACACCCCCACCCTCACCCTGTATAAGGAAGCAGCTCACCCCACCCTCAGGGACAGAGCGAGGGAACCTGTTACTTGTTTGCGCTCCCCCCCTTCTGCACTGGGGCCCCAGTAAAGCTGTGACTGAATTTCTTGTCTGGCCTCTCATCGGTTCCTAAGAGGAAGGCCTTTCTTGGGGAAGCCCAAGAGCCCTGGTCAGTAACAACCGCACCCTTCGCTCACCACTCCGCCACGTTCTCTGGGCTCCGACCACCCACCTGGTGGATGTCTCCGCTCCATGCTCCTTCAGCCAGTGTTCTTTTCTCTCTCAGGTATGACACCCCTCTCTTATTCCTCTGGTCAGCCCCCACCTGTCCTTCAAGAGCCACCCAAAGTCCCACCTTCTCTGTGATGCTCCGGGATGAATAATTACTCCTATTTCTGTGCCTCATAGCAGTTTCCACACATCCTGCTAGAACATGGATACAACTACATTTTTAAAAATTAACGTTTTTCTCCTCCATGAGGGTGAGCTCCTTCAAGCCAGAATATGACTGTATTTTGTTCATCTCTGGGTCCCTAGCACCTCACACATCGCCTGGCACACAGTGAGTGCTTACAGAGGTATTTGATGAAAGCAAAAACTGCAAATCGGAAGCCCGTCTAGACAGCCCTGGACGCTCCAAATAGCCAAACAATTCTAGATAACAACCTTGTTGCAGGTATTCTCAATAAAATGTTTCTGCTCCTTAAGTCAAAAGACAAAACCCCATTTGTATTCTGTGTATTAGCTCCAGACAATGATTTGATGTCACAATCTACTACAGGTCAGCCCAAGGCAACCCCTTTGATTGAATTAAAGGAATATAATCAGAATACAATCTCTGATATAATGCATCACACAGACAATTCCAGACATACTCCCAGGAGCAGCTTCGTGGATCAGCTTGACGTAAATTAGGGCGTACTTTCCGTTAAGTCCATATGTAACAAATTTTCTTTCCATGTTGATATTCAATAACTGACCTGATTTGAGTAACCTCCCTGTTCTTGGTTACGTGTCACCTCTGAGAGCTTCATGACCACCAATCTTCACTGTTTATCAGACAGAAAACTAGATTTCAGGAGCCTCACCACTGAGCCTGTGAACCAACATAAAATAGTCTGAAATAAGAATAACTATAATACACTATAGTGGGCTTCCCTGGTGGCACAGTGGTTGAGAATCTGCCTGCCAATGCAGGGGTCATGGGTTTGAGCCCTGGTCTGGGAAGATCCCACATGCCGCGGAGCAACTAGGCCCGTGAGCCACAACTACTGAGCCTGCTCTTCTGGAGCCTGTGCCCCGCAACAAGAGAGGCCGCGACAGTGAGAGGCCCGCACACCGCGATGAAGAGTGGCCACTGCTTGCCGCAACTAGAGAAAGCCCTCGCACAGAAACGAAGACCCAACACAGCCAAATAAATAAATAAATACATACATACATACATACATACACTATAGTAAGTGATCTACACACCTGATCATATTTAGTTCCATGGTCAGCAGGCAGGCTTCAGCTAAAGTGTTGTCCTCTTTTCTGTAAAGTTCTGTAACAGTTCCTAAGTTTCTGCAGAGCATGGACATTGCGCTTGCCCTGAGGAATAAACCAATGGTATTTTAACAAATCTTTGAAATAAAGACTGTGCACACAAAACAAAAAACAAAGTGAGACAACAATAACAGCAATAAGATAACAGCTCCAAGAGGTGCGGAATGCTAACCTTATCTTACAGAGGACCAGAGCAGTTAGGTGACTTGTCTGAAGTCACATAGCTACTAAGTGGCACAGCCCAGTTTAGAGCCAAATCACTTGACTCCATCCCCTTGCCTCTTCCCATTAAGCCATGTGGCCTCCCCCTAAAAGATGGGATATGTCCAATTTCAAACCAGAGAACTTCCATAGTCATTGAGACACCAAAAACGAGGCACTATGTTTGTTACAGCAGCTACAAATTTCTCCCCTTTTTATGTCTACAACAGATCCATATTTTTATCTACTCATTGAACATGTAATGAGCACCCACTATTTACCAGACATTGTGGCAAACACTTGGAATGAACTCCAAGTGATAAATAATGTGCGTTTGTGTCCCCAAGGCAAACTTATTGATTATCTGGTGATTAGAACTCATTGACCAGGAAGGCTATGTTTATCTCAACAGAGCAATTTTTCTATGAAAAGAATAATTGCTATGAAATGTGAATATTAGTAACAGCCAACGTTTACTGAGGATTTACAATCCTCTAGGCATTGTTCTGAGAACTTTACATGTATTAACGCATTTAATAGTCACTTCGTAAGTTTAGAAGCTTTGATGAATCCCATTTTACAAATAAAGAAACTGAGATACAGATAAGTGTGTTATCAAAGTCAGACAGCTAAGAAATGGCAAAGCCAAGATGAAAACCCAGGTAGTCTGAATACAGAACTAAACCACTATTTTATCTAATCTCTCAATTTAATATATGAAATTAACATATTTAATTTCATATATTAAATCTAGGGTCACCAAGATGAATAAGGCAATATTCCTGTCCTCAAGGAATTAGTGGAAAAAGCAGACAAGTAAGCAGGTAGTACAATACAGAGTGACAGGACTGTGTACAGGGGCCTGGAGGAGCACAGGGAAGGGGTCCCAACATTTGCAATAACCCACATGCTTTCCTCATACAGACATAGACCAGGCGCCCTCTCCTAGGTCCTACGATTCATTCAGTGCCCAGAGAACCTGGTAAGGAGAAAGACGGGAGAGGAAGTGACAAGGGAAAGGATGACAGAACGAGGAAAAGAAGGAGAAAGGGATTGATAAAGGAAATACATGAAAACATGCCTGCCTAACCATCAGCCTTTCTCCCTGTAAGACGTTTCTGTCCCTTGGAAATGCACAAAAGCTTAGAAGACAACCTGTAAATCTGGCCTTAATTGTTTCCCTACTCTCCAGGGCAGAACAAGAAGATGAAAAGTTCCCCTCTCTTTGGACCCCTCGGGTACCTTGATCAGTGATCGGATGACAATTAGGGACCCCAGGAAAGGAAATGGACAGGGCTCCATTACTCCCATATGTGAGTACACTCCATTAAGCCATTTGCCAACCTTTTATAGTAGACGTTCAGATTGTTTTCAGTTTTACTGAAATTATAAAGAATGTTGGAATGAACTTTTTTTTTTTTTGGCCGCACCATGCGGCATGCAGAACTTCCCCGACCAGGGATCGAACCCATGCCTCCTGCAGTGGAAGTGCGGAATCTTAACCACTGCACCACCAGGGAAGTCCGGCATGAACATTTTTATAGTTGCACTTTTGTATACTTTTGACTATTTCCTATAAAAGATCCCAGAGTGGAATTACTAATTCTAAGAGTATATTTCCTTTTTAAACTCTTAATCCATATGGCAAAAACACTTTCCAAAAAGTGGTAATAAATTATATTCCACTGGAAATATTTGAGAGTGATTATTCACACTCTACCCAGCATTGTTATACTTTTTTAAACTTCATTATTTTGTTAGAAAAAAACTGTAAGTTATTATTTTAATTGTCCTTTTTAAAACACTGGTGAGGTTGAATTTGTTTGGCAAGTTTATTAATCATCTATATTAACTGAGATTATACATATAAACCTTGTAAGTCCTCAGAAGAGATTACTTTATCATTATTTTAGAAATGAGTTGGAAAATTATTTCATGGTTACTGGCTATGTATAAAATTTTAAAAAAATTTTTAAGTTCGCTTATTTTTTTTCCCATTTCTCTATTGAAGTTTCAGTGGTTTCTTATTAGTGAGTTGCGTGAGCTTTTTATGCATTAAGTACATGACCTCTTTGTTTTGGAGAAATGTTCCTGTTTTGAAGGATTGCTGTCCCTAACAGAACAATGCTACCTACAGGCATTATGCTTTACAAATATGGCTCCAGGCTTTGGTTTCATTGATGAAGAAAGAGAAGCTTAAAATTCAGTGTTTTCTCTTTTCTTTTCAAGGTCAAATTTTTTAGTTAATTAAATTTTTTGAAGTAACATTGGTTTATAAAATTATATAAGCATCTTGTGCACGACATTATATTTCTAATTCTGTATACACTATAGCATGCTTCCCACCAAAAGTTTAGTTTCCATCCATCACCATATAGTTGGCTCCCTTTACATATTTCACACCCTCCCTCCACCCCCAACCCCTCTGGTAACCACCACTCTGTTCTCTGTATCTACATGTTTGTTTTGGTTTGGTTTGTTCATTGACTTTGTTTGGTTGTTTCTTTATATTCCACATGAGTGAAATCATACAGTATGTGTCTTCTCCACCTTATCTCACTTAGCATAATACCCTCAAGGTCCATCCATGTTGTTGCAAATGGCAAGATTTCTCTTTTTTTTACTGCTGAGTAGTATTTTAGTGTGTGTGTGTGTGTGTGTGTGTGTGCGTGTATACATACACATCACATCTTCTTTATCCACTCATGCACTGATAGGCACTTAGATTATTTCTATATCTTGGCTGTCGTAAATCACGCTGTGATGATTTGTCCAAACCCACGGTACGTGAAATACCAAGAGTGAACTCTAATGTACTAAACTATGGCCTTTGGGTGATAATGATGTGCCGCTGTAGGCTCATGGACTGTAGCAAATGTACCACTCTGGTGAGGGATGTTGGTAATGGGGGAGGCTGGGCACATATGGGTAAATGGGAATCTTTGCACTTTCTGCTCAATTTTGCTGTTAATATAAAACTTCCATAAAAATAGAGTTTATTAATTTTTGAAAATGTTAAAAAATATAATGTTGTGATGAACATAGGGGTTCATATATCTTTATGAATTGGTGTTCTGGGAAAAGAGAATGACAGTTCTCCAGAAACCAAACTTTCAGTTATGGCATATTGCTAAAACTTATAGAGCATTCAAAACAGCTGTCATGAAGAAACTCAACAAGCTACAAGAAACCTCAGAAAGATGTACCATGAGCTCAGGGAGAAAATTAATTAACAGAAGGAATACTTTACCAAAGAGATTGAAACTCTGAAAAAGAACCAAACAGAAATTTTAGAGCTAAAGAACTCAGATGAAGAATACATTAGAAAGCATTGGAAATGAGGTGAAATTTCTATACAGTGACATGTACGAATCTTAGGTGTATCATTTGATGAATTTTGACAAATATATATACCTATGTCATGAACCACACACAATACTTGAGTTTGTTGTAGGTAGAAGGATTTCCCTTCTTCTGCCCTTATTTATTCTCCATGTTTGCAAAGCACTTTGTAATGTAATCTTTTTTTACCTTGTATTCTAGAGCTTTTGCCTACTCCATAAGCATGTTACTCATATTACTCTGAGGCAAGAACATAATAGGTGCCCAATATGTTTGTGGAAAGACTGGGCACCTCATGGAAAGTGTATTTCACATGGCCAGGTCTAAAACACAATCATATCATTAATACCTATAATGGGGGAAATTTAAGAGGCACTGTAATGTTTGTGCAAAGCATGAAAAATCCCCAGTTACACATGGCATTGGAATGCAACTAACTCCCCACTGGAGGCACACGGGAGCCTATTTAAACTTGACGAACTATTTGGAAGCCATTCTCAATGTGATTCTTATCTTCAAACAGAAACTCAGATTACGAGGAGAAACTTTTCCCTCAACCAGCAGTATCAAAAAAATTTTAAGTAGAATATATAGCATTTATCAAATAAAAAAAAAGAAGTCCCACTTCTAGAATACTTATTTTATGTGTCACATCTTTACGAGGAAGTTTATACATAATATCTCATTGATTCTTCACCAAAACTCTGCAAAGCAGGTATCCATTTCACAAGTTGGAAGCTGTCACCTGGTATAGTCAATTTGCCCCAATCCATATACCTTGTAAGAAACAGAGTTAGGATCTGAGTTCAGGTCTAATGAAGTCAAATTTCCCAAGACAGATGCAGCTCAGATGAGTTCTAATCGGTGCAATATTAGAAGCAAAGCACCCAAAAAGTTCAAGTTGCAGCCTGCAAAGGCAATATTCTTCGGGGATTACTTAGAAACATCAACTAATTACTAGATCACAGAGATGTTCGACCTGCATACCTGTCTCAATGGAAGTGTGAGCTCAAGCAACGAAACCATTTGTCTACCATAGCAGTTGATACTTTTTATGAGGCTGCCCACGTGTAGGGTGTCCAGGGAACACATGCAGAGATTCCAAGGTTTACTTTTACATGGAACTCTGTAAAATCGAAAATTTCCTAAAAAGAAATATTGTGGTAATAAGAATGTAGACTCTGGAGTCAGGATTCTAGCTTTGAAAAAAAAAGAAAAAAGAATTCTAGCTTTGCTTCTGATTAACAATACATCCTGATATGTACAATGGAATACTATTCAGCTGTAAAAAAAGAATGAAATAATGCCACTTGCAGCAACATGGATGCAACTAGAGATTATCATACTAATTGAAGTAAGTCAGAAAGGGAAAGATAAATATCATATGATATCACTTATATGTGGAATCTAAAATATGACACAAGTGAACCTATCTACAAAACAGAAACAGGCTCACAGGCATTGAGAACAGACTTGCGGTTGCCAAGGGGAAAGGAGGGTGG